CACACACACACACACACACACACACACACACACACACACACACAACACATCTCACATCTGGTTTACTATCCTTGTGGGGACTCTGCATAGGATTAATGGTTTTTATACTGTATATATCACCCATCACCCTACACCAACCCTACACCTAAACCTAACCCTCACAGGAAACTTTCAGCATTTTTACATTCTCCAAAAAAAACAAAAAACAAACTCATTCTGTATGATTTATAAGCTTGTTTCCCCAACACACACACACACACACACACACACACACGCACACACACACATGCACAATCAACAAAGGTGTTACCAAGAATGTTACCAAAAATGCAATAATCAACTTTTGATTAAAAATTAGTAAATCTGGTCAGATCATAAATGTGACAAATTACAGAAAAAAAGTCAACAGGAATTAGTACAATTAAGTATAATAACAATAAAAGTGCACATTATATACCTGCAGGTCTGGGTCAGGTACAGGGATGTTATAATACTCTCCCTCATCCTGGTTGAGTAGTTTGAACCAGCCGCTGACTGATCGTCTGAATATCTCACTAACGCCGAACGACAGAGCGCCCATGAAGTCATTCCGTGAGGTCCGATCCCAGTCCCAGACCTCTATAGACAAACGCCTGTCCCACTGCCTCCCATGCACTGAACTACACACAGACAGGAGGACTGAGAGAGATAACCTAGCATCCACTCAGAAAACCTTAGCAACACCCTGGCAACAACTTCTGCATCTTATGCGTATACAAACAAAGAAACACGAATAAGACTCACAAGGTGAAGCTCTCGTTCCAGATAGGGTTGAGTGTAGAACGGATGGTTTTGGTTTTCTGTTTGCTCTGGCTCTTTGGATCAGGGATGAGTTTGAGCTTCACATAAGGGTCCGACAGGCCGTTAGGGTCCATGGGTATCAGGTTATATGCTTCGTGCACTAAAACATACATTACACATTGAGAACTCATTGTGTGTGTTTGTACATAACCGTATTGAATTATATTGCATGAATTATATTATGCAATTGAACAAACTGAATATCTCTGTGGTTGTGATGGTATGTATGCTTTGTACAATGAATGTGTTTTCAGCTGTATTGTTAAATTGACCTGTCAGAATGACATGCTGGTTGCCTTTAAAAGAACAGCAGTGCATTTTAAATGCTCACATTCTCTGTAGAGCATTAGTAGTCTTCTCACTACTCATTAGTCTCTCTATGGTGGTGCTGATCTAAGAGCCACAGGCGTAGTTAAGTTGACACAGTGCAGCTAATGCATTGTAATACAGCAGATTGTGTGTGTGTGTGTGTGTGTGTGTATGTGTGTATAATTAGCTTTTTCCTCATGTACTGATGATGCTATATGCACACATTTCCCTCTTCTGGAAGAAAGCTGAGCTGTGCCATGTGGCACATAATGCATCTCCAGTGTGCTTCCTTAAACAGCAAATTCTCTCAGTGAGCAAAGGAGTAATTCTTCACTGGGGTATGAATAAGGGAATCTTAATAAACATTACTAAGCACTTTCCATGAATAGGATATAAAATAAGGTATTAATTTTATATGGTTTGACATTTTTTGCAATCCTTTTACCAAAACGTGGGGCATGTATAAATTCAGTTTTAATCCTACAGATTGCTTTTACATTGTAATTTTCTAGTAATAAATATTAAATAAAACATCTATATTTGTAGATTATATTAGGCTGTCACTCAGTAGGGTTTATCTAGTTTAAGACCAAATGACAGATTATAGATGTTGATAAACCTATCTTTGTATTTATATTAAAGAAAAATATTTATTTGTTTTTTTTTCTTACAATAACTTGAAAAACAGGGTTGAATGGTTGAGCTTGACAAAAGCAATCAAAAACATAATTTGTGCAAAACAGAAATCTTTTCTTACTAAAAGTGTAAAAAACTTTTCTTACTAATTCTTCCCATAATGGTCTGGAAAGGGCTAAATTATACATTATTGCATCCATTTTGTAGCATCTAATAACAAGTAAAACATGTAAGTTTCCACAAAAATGTCATGGGACATGCAGTGTACTACTTTCATGAATGTGCTATTTGAGAAGTCTAATAGTGTTCATCAGTTTTAAACTCATGAAGTTACAGTTATATTCACCTGAAACATATATGTCTTCTTTCTCTCCACGCACGGTCAGGCGAATCCGTCCTCTTTTCTCAGTGTGGTCGTGTCCGCACAGGCTGGGGACACTGCTCTCACAGCGCTTGTGTACATTCATGTCACAACCTCTCTCACACAGACACACATAAACACACACACACACACACACACACAACACAAAAATAAAAGAGAG